TTAAAAATTATATTAATTTAAAAATCGATGATCATTTATCTCTATTATTTTTGATAAGTATTCAAATATGAATTAATTTTTGAAGTTAAACAATTGAAGCAGCTTATTATTTTAAATATGTATGTAGATTTATTTTTCATAGCATGAAAAATGTATCCCATAAGTGAAGATGTAGGTAATTCTATATTATTTATTTTTTTTTTTGTTACAGGTACTTTCTATTTTTGTAATTCTTAAATAAGTAAGTATTAGGTATAACTTGTTGTGAAAAAAATAATTTTAACCAATTACCAACTAAAGGTAAATTATTTAAATTAATAAGATTCTTTGTATTGCATACCCCTTACAAGAATTTCATAAAGAAAAATTTTGGGAAGTAATAAAAGGGCCAAACATTATTGGCCCCCCTAGTAGAAATTTTCTGGCTACGTGCCTGAAGCCGAGTAGTGAATAGGTAATATAATAGTAAAAAATAACGCACGCAATTGATCATAATATATTGTCATTTTTATAGCATTTTAATTATACGTAGTTCAGGGAATTCGTAATACTGTCAACCGATAGTCCGAGGCACGCGATAATGGATTACCCACACTAATGTTCATTTACTACTCACACATAGACATAGCCCAAATGTTCATGTTAAGTGAATTGCCTAAATATTACTCCTTAAAACATGATATGCTGGAGCCCCCTTAACACAGAAACGCGTCGGTTGTAGGTACACGCGCAGGGGCGTATACAAGGGGGGGATGTGGGGGTCAGATCCCCCCCATAGGCCTTTTTTTAAATTTTATAAAATAGTGTTCTTAATGTAAGGAAATTACAAGGAAAAAAAATGGCAAGGATTTTTTGTAAATTTTTATTTTAACACAATATTCAACAATTAATTAAAAATAATTTACATATAATCGTATAGGTAATCGTATTATGTGATATTTGATAATATGTATATTATATATACAAGTATAATAAATTATTATAAGAATAATAATATGTGGCAGACCAGCCACGGGCCGTCGCCACCGTCACCGATATCAACGCGGTGGAGACGATATAATAATACATTTTCCTATACATTAGAAAATGAAATATTATTATGGTATAATATAAGGTTATTGCACGATGGTTTTTACGCATTTATACCAAAACATTATCAATTTTGTATATTATCAACTAACATGGATATACCTACAACATACTAGCTAATAGCTATCAGTAATTTGTTCATTGAAAGCTAAAAATTGCTTAAATAATAAATATTATTGACTAAAAAAAAAAGAAAATTAAATTTTGTTCTATAATTACTTGTAGAATTTAAAATAAAATGTATTGAATATATATATGTTTTATCATTTATTAGGTATTTAAATGAGCACATACCTAGGTTTAGGTATTTTCGTTCCATAATAATTTGTTTGCAACTGATCCCCCCCCCCATACAAAAGTTATGTATACGCCACTGTACACGCGGTTTGGACGTTTGGTCGCCAAAAACCCAGTGAAACGCGGCGGGCGAACGCAACGATGCGTTGAGCTCGACCGCCTGGAAAAGACACACGACTGGGAGGCGGCACAGCCTACGGCGGCGAACGGCCCGGCGCTGGACGGCCGAGGAGGGGGTAAGCCACCTTGTGAGCTTCGGCATCCGAGGCCCAGCTTTGGGGGGGGGGGACATATGCCGAAACTAAGGTGGCGCGAAAACGCGTCCGTGTTCGAACAACCAGAAAACTGATTATCGCCGGTTATCGTTGTCACGGGATATCTTTGATGCCTGTTATTTTGGTAATTATCTACCAGAGCACTGCATGGGCCGGGCTGCATATTTATTTTAAGTGTACGGGCCTGAGTGGCCTTTGCTTTTTTAAATTAATCTAAGATGGACTTTGGTTTCGAACTCTAGAATAATGTTGGCCTTTAATGGGCCGAGCATTTTATATCAGGGTACGGGCTGGGTTGGGCCCGGCATTCTGTAAATTATTTTAAATTATTTTCAAAACTATTATTTAATGAATGCACTACAAACCAATAATGATTAGCGATTAAGTATAAACATTATAAAATATTATATACCCGATGCACAGTGGTTCAAAAATGAAAATAGTTGGCCAAAATTCTAATTTTCACAGAAATCTTATAAAATGATCTGTTACTTATAGAATAATTATTATAAAAGTAATTCGTATTCGTATACCGACTTAACGGGCCTCCACGCGACTTATTTTTTTCTCAATAACATTTTTTACAGAAAAAACTGCCAATCCACGTAAAAAAACCGATTTTGATTTTTTGTTAAGAGAAACACTTCTTACAAAGTGTATTTTACTTAAATTTATAATTTGTGTTCCTAAACCATAAAAAAATACGATTTTTTCATTCAATCAAATATTGCTTATAAAGTTATAAATAAGCCTGTCCAACGTCATGTGCTCACTAAAACGAAACGCGCAAATACGAGCAACTAATAATGATAGTTTTGTAATCAGTAGATCGTGGTCTAAAATATGATGGTGTATATATCGCCGTGTAACTTGATGAAAAACATGATTAGATTTTGTATGTTTTTAAAAGTGAATAGCTTTATATCGTATTATTTATGACATTGTTCATTTCAATTGCCACATACTGATTAATAACAGTCATTATTTCATAATTGAGTCATTAAATACTATCTTAGTATCTTATCCAACGTATATAAATTGATAAATACTTTAAAGTTATTTTATTTTATTTGTTGTTGAAAATTAAACTAGGTATATGACGATTAGTGACAAAATATCATAATAATTATGAAAAAAACTATATTTCGTCCACTTCAATTATTATTTTATTGGTATTGCTAATATTATTTTGCAATTCGTTTTGCAATTCGTTTTGCATAATTATTTCACACCCAATGTGCGACTATTCCGATATTGTAACAATATATCAGGACCTTGTATTAAATTGTTACACTTTTTGGCCCATTAGATAAAACTTTATTGTTATTTATAGAATAAAAAAACTAAAAAATTGGAAACTGAAAATGTTCGTAAACAGCTCGAAATATTTTCAAAATTGTATGATGTATAGGAAATGCCAATATAAACATTCAGTGAAATTTTCATGTATATACAGTTATTTGTTTTCGAATTACAACAAAATAAGGAAATCGCTAAAAGAGAAATCGAAAGAATATCCAATGTTGTAAAAATTTGATTTTCAAACGCTCATAAAAATTTAATTAGACTTTCTTTTAGACATTTTTTTTTTGATAAAGGTAGATAATCTTATAAGGAATCTTGTATTACATTTTAAAACATTAGATGTAAAAATGAAAATTTTTACAAATTCTTAACTCAAAATAATTTACTAATTTTCGTGATTTTTCCATATTTTGTCAATTTTTAACTTTAAATGCTTATAAAAAAAAACTGTGACTAAGGATTTTTAATATTTATCAAATGCCATTGTAGCAATATGGTAAGAGCCTTGTATTAAATTTTTTAGCTTTTAAGCTTTTTTAACCAACAAATAAAATTTTATTGATATTTTTAGAAAAAAAACTAAAAAAAATGGAAAATGAAAATGTGCCTAAACAGTTCAAAATAAATCAAAACATTTTTGAAAATGTTATCGTGTATAGAAAATTCTAATATAAACATTTGATTTATTTTGAACTGTTTAGACACATTTTCATTTTCCAATTTTTTTTAGTTTTTTTTCTAGGAATATCAATAAAATTTTACTTGTTGTTTAAAAAAGCTTGAATATTAAAAGGCTCCTAGTATATTGTTTCAAAGGAAGATGATAAATATTAAAAATCCTTAGTCACAATTTTTTTTAATAAGAATTTAAAGTTCAAACATTGACAAAATATGGAAAAATCACGAAAATTATCAAATTTTTTTGAGTTAAGAATCCGTAAAAATTTTTCTTTTGAAATACAAGATTTTAAAATGTAATACAAGATTCCTTATAAGATTATCTACCTTTATCAAAAAAAAAAATGTCTACCGGAAAGTGAAATTAAATTTTTATGAGTATACTAGGTACTATATATCTATGATAGTATCAGGGTTTGTTGTTGGTGTATAACGCGCTAAAAGTTCGTAATGGATATTGTGATATGATTAATTTGGAATTCATTATAGGTCAATTTTTTTTATTACCATAGATATAAACGTATATAAATGTCTTATACCTAGAAGGACATACCGTCTCCTTAATCGTTTTTCTTATACAATGATATAATATTATTGAATTCAAATGTAATACCATCCATTATACAGTGACCCACTTATAACCTACTGTACAGCAGATCGACACCCACTTGCCCCACCTTTTTAACATTTAACTAGATAATTCTCTTAGAAATTCTTATTGCTCAGTGGTGTATTGTATTGCAATAATCAAGGTTATGAACGATGAATAACTTACTATACACTTTTAAGTCAAACATCCTAAATATTTATTACACGGTTCTTATAAAAAAATATATAAAGGACTGACCATCCTGTGTGCATTGAATACGCCCGGAACGGGGGGCACAGACCGAAGGACCACTCGGTGCGAACCGAGAGAGAAAGACCCAAGTTTGGGAAACGTCAGAGAACGCCTACTACTGTTCTGAGTAGGCAACCCAATCTACGCCTGACCAAAGTGACGTTAGGCAATCAATTTCACGACGACGAAATCTATGACGTGGACGGGAGGTAGTACATGGGAGTCAGGAAGTACAGTTTAGTTATCGAGGGGGGTCTCTGTGGTCGAATCGGTTTGGTGCAAAGACCACAGAGCTCACACAGATCAGGGACTTAACACTAGCTTAAAATTAAGGCAGACTGATGTATAATGGTAGTCCCTCTGAGGAGTGACCCGACACACTGGACGACCTGGGCAGCCTCTCACACAACGTATTTGTTGCTGGCGGACTTACGCAAAACAACTCTCTGGAGACAGATCTGGACGACCGTGACGGCCTCACACACCACTCGGTCGAATGGCTGGACGCAAAACATATGGCACCAAATCCGATGTCGGACAATTTCCAGCAACCAGACGAATGTTAATAATTAATTTAGAATAACTCACGAATATTGCTGGTAACGATGGATATTTATTTTTGAAACACAAAGTTGCGTTGTCCGTTACAATAACGGACTGACGATATAAATAACAATAATTGTTGGATCACAATAATAATAATAATAATTTTGATAAATACTATGCGCTCAATGCGACTTAAAAAAAACAATAACAACGACGAGAAGCCACCGCTGTAATAGCGGGACAAGAAAAAGAATAATTTTGTACGTACAACAACAATAATACGAAAAAAAACACAACAAGGGCGTTGGCCGAAGACGTAAACAATAACAAAGAACAGATAATATTGATATGTGAAAATGATAATAATATTGTCCAAAAGTTCAATCCATTCGTCCAAAATTTGCCTTACTGCGGGGAAGCGCTCGTGTCGTTTCTTTGTCTGTTCTTTGGTATCAGCTGTTGAAGATTACGACTATCGACGCGCCGCCGTTTCCACGTATTTGTGCACAAGCCACAAAGTCGTCATTTACCCTTAGCCGTCATAACCCTTTGGTCCCGACGGCCGTTCAACGGCGATTATCTCTGTGGTTTCTCGTGTCGCCAGCTGCACCTTGTGGCGTACGTCGTTCTGATACCGCAGTCAGTTTTACTCCGGACCTGCACGACTGCTGTACGGGTCTGTTTTCTCCGAAAGTTAGTAAGTACTCATTGCCGGTATCTACTTAATAGTTGACGTTCGCCACTGTTACCGCTTACTCCCTACGTTTGCGGCCGTGTATGTGGTTCTCGTATTCGACGTCGCTTCGGTGACGCCATTAAATCGTATCGTGTCCTGTCACGTATCGCCGCCGATAGCAGGCACATCGTACGTTGTTGTCTCGCTCGGTGTTACGCAACGTCAGTCGATGCGCATGACAATTTGTGTAGCCGCCGTCATCGTTGCCGAGACTGTTGACAACCGTCGTCATTAAATTATAATCGGTCGCACGGTCGTATTCATAGACCTATAAACTAATGGACTGCACCTCACTCACCACCACCCAGCCATCAATGAGTGGCGCCAATATGGAGTGAGCGAGAAAGAACATATTGGGGGAATCTTGGTGGACAGTCATATAAGAGAAAGATAGAAAAAACATAATGGGAGAAATCATAGACGTATGAAACTAATAATGTATGTCGTACCCCTGACCTCTCTCTCTAAGCGCTGTCCATAGGTCTATGGTCGTATTAATTGTTATTGTATTTTCATTAACATTATTAATTTATCGTACTATAACTATAAGATTTAGTATCTGTATACGCGCGTAGGAATTATATATATATATATATATATATATTACTGCTGTTCCTTATATTTATGATTTTGTAATAAATGCCAAAATACGTGTAGGTATATCGGTTTACAAGCTTTTCTTTTCGACATCTTGTACCTATGACTAGGACTAACCACTTAAACGTGGTTGGTCCAAATATATAATAAAAATGAATAATATGATGTGTAGGTCCACATATTATTTGTACTTTTGCAAGCGTTTGTGTAAGACCTGTATCAGAACTAGCACTAGCCCAAATACTAGAGGGAAACTATATCAATAACAAAATATCAGATTATAACTTAAAAATAATTACACAGTATGCTGTATGACGATGTGAAGTGTTTCAGCGTTTGAGCTTTCACAATAAGCCAAATACAATATAATTTTTCTATTACTATTATTATAATTATTATAGCTATTATTATTTTATACCTGTACAAATTATATGTGGACCATACCTACACATTAAATTATTAATGTTCATTATATATTTTGACTAGATTAAATTAAAAAATTGATTGTACTTTTTTTATGCATCACAAAAACAAACAAATTTTAACCTAATCAACTACATTTAAGTTGTCAGTCCTATGTCTGAATAAAGTGGGAAGGAAGTTTGTATTTGGTGTAGTTTTTTTATTTCGTGTGGGAACTAACGTACTTTTTTAACTTACATTACTAAGTAATTTTTTTCGTGTGGTAACTTATGTATGCATACCCCGGTGTCATTTTTACCTGCTTTATCTCGTGTGGGAACTTACATTCGCCCCTTATTTCAGTGTAAAAGTTATAATGTACATGTAATGTTAACAATATACTATGTATTGTTGTATTGCAGATTAATAAAAACAATATTAAAAATAATTTGTCTTAATTTAACATTTACTAATCTTACTAAATAATGTGAATATAATACAACTTACCCATTTAATACTTATCCTAATAAAATGTGCTTGATTTCTGTATTGTTCTTTATATAAAAACCACTTCTTTACATACTAAAAATTTAGTCTAGATTAGCTTATATTATAAATAACAGACAACATTTTTTGTTTTATAAATCATATAATACTGTAGCAAGATTGTATAATATGATAAATTAACAATAATAAGTTATATTTTAATTTGTTTATTTTTAGGAGGCCAATAAACCAGAACAACATTTTTTTGGATTTGATATTGAAGATGAAGTATTGATAATAATTGAAAATAAGAAAAATTGTAAGTTTTTTGTCTATGATATGTTTATACAGCTATTGTATTTAACTTAAAATTAAATATGTACCAATTTTAAATGTTATCAATTGTTTTTTTTATGATCACGTTCAGGGGTAAAAATGGAACTAAGTAAAGAAACAGGTGAAGCTATGGAAGTCGAAGAGCCATCCATTGTTAATAAAAAGAAACATTCTATATCATCGAGTAAGTTATAAAGACTTTCTGTAAATCTGCTTATGTTTATATATTTTATATCATGCATATTATGGATGTGTAATAATAATGTATTATTTTATGATTGATTTATAGTATCATCACCAGAACTTAATGATGTTAAGAACAATCGGAGTGATAAGAGGCATAAGAAAGACAATTTTCACAGTGATGCCTTAGAATCATTGGAATTACAAGTTACCCCTACTTTAGGTGAGTGACCCCCAATGTATAATACATAAATCGGAAATAAGACAGTTGGGCATCCATTGGAAAATTGTTAACCAATAAAAAATAATTTGTAATTTTTATATATAATAATATATTGTATAATCATTTTTATTCATCTTAGCCCAAGTAGTCTAACATATTTTGCTGATTATTACACAGTATGCATGTGAAAGTACCTATTATATTTAATGTTCAGTATGAGTTTTATATTATGTACTGGGTTTAATGATTGGTATAATGATTGGTTTTCAAAAAGATTATTAAATTAACCTAGGTAATTCAAATAAATGGTATTGACTCTAACAGTTGTGAATTCGTATACTCGCATTATCTCAAATTATACCTACTGCATTTCATTATGATATTCTAAAATGCACACATAATGCAATCTATCTATGAAATATTTAGTTAAAATACAATTCACATTTTTCTAAATTGCATACAATATAATTTTATATTTGGTTTAACTCCCTGTGTATTTATTTGTCTATTAATCTGACAAATAATTATTTGTTTTATTGTGCAATTTATTACATTACTGACATTTTACATAATCACCTAGGTATTTCAGAATCAATGAATGCATCTTCATCTAAACCTGAATACATATCTGAAGACTGCCAAGCTATTCAATCTAGTGCATCGCCAAAAGTTTCTTCTCAAAAACTTGAGAAAATTGATATAAATAACACTATAAATAAAAGACGGTAACATATTAGCTTTAATTTATATTGTTAATGCTTAAACAGTTTTTGCTTATTAGTTTAATATTTGGCTTCACAAATGTAACCCAAAATGAATGGGTTGTTATCCTTCTGTTATCCTTCCTTCATAATCATTCCTCAATCAAACCACACACGTGAATGGATAAAAAGAAGTTGTAAACATCAAATTGGTGAAGTCATTATGCAGACACCTTGTAGGATACGATGAACCTGCCACTTTAATGTCTGGGCTTTTATTATCCAGCATGTATCAATTTGAATGCTAATTTAAAAATTGTTAGTTATGTATGTATAGTAAGTGATTATTTACAGATTTATTAATTTTTTTAAAACAATAAAACTTTTTCCTTTTTTTTTTTTTATTTAGAACTGTCAATCTATTGTGCGACAAAGAAATAGACGTGTATAGTCTTCTCATACTGTGGTTGTCATTGCTACTGAACCGTAACAACTAGGTGTTGAACCAATTAGTATACGACAGGTGAATCAAATGTCATACACACCTAATTTTTTTATTGACAGAACACCTATTTCTAAAACTGCATTATGCATGAAATTCATTATGAAATTATTAAAATATTTTATCTTCTCCCTATCTCTTGGGGAATGTAAAAATGGACCAGACACACAGTAGCGTTGGTCATTGGTCTTATTTGTATGACTGGATGTATGTTAAATGTTCGTTTTTTTACCACTTTAATCATTTGATTGTGTTTGTTTTCAGATTTGAGCAGAAAGTCAACCTTCCTATATTACTTTCAACTCCTATTTGTTATTTACTAATTGTTTCATACATGTTCTGAGGCCTAATTTTGTTTGCATGTTAAAGCTAGACGCTAGTGTTATTAAGTCTTTATATGTGCCTGGTTGAGAACATAAATAAATATTTATAATGCTTTCAAGTATGATAAAATAATTTTAAATCTATTTTTTTTTTTTTTTAATAAAATTTAACAGGAATTCTGAAATTGCAACACCTTTCGCATCCACGCCATCATTCAATTGCATGATTCAATCATTGGAACATGTTTTTAAATATTTGAAAACGCATGAGCTGTTATCAGCTTCTAGAGTATGTACCGCCTGGCATATAATTGCAATGAATAAACTCTTAGTAAGTATAACAGTAAAATGTCATATAATGTATTTTTGCTTATTTATCAAATATTTTTAGTGGCGGAAGGTTTGTTTAAAAGATTGTATGGTCTATGACTGGGAAAGGTTTGTAGACACAATTAATCAACAAAGAACTGATACATTAAACACTAGACGTATGTTGAGACCCTCTAAAGTTGAAGACTTGGAAAGTTTTTGGTTGCGATTTGCAAATGCAATGAAAAGAGCAAAACAGTTAAAATGCATTGAATTGTATAGATGTCCTGTCCTTGTTGTTGAAGATATTATTTACTCATTACCTCAAATTGAAGTACTTAATGCTACTTCAATAAGGTAATAAAGAAAATATAATCCATTTTTTTTCAATAGTTTCAATAATTAATTTTATTTTTAGGAATCCAAATTTTATGAAAGAGATAAAAACTCCCAATGATTTAATGTACCTAAACTTAAGTCATTTGGGACAAATGACAAAGCTCACAGAGTTAAGACTAAAAGGTTTAACTGGAATAAAATTGACGGCATTGCCATCATTTGAAAATTTAATAAATTTGAATAGATTTGTAAGTTTAGTAATAATTGATTATATATATAATTAAAATATTTAATTAAAGAAAAGTATTATATTTACTATTATTATTTTTATGTAGTCATTAACGTCTATTAAAGAATTTCCAAAAGAGATCTATCAGAGATTGAATACTATTACTGACACTATTGAGTTTTTGGAAATTGGTGATTGCAAATATTTAACAAAGGATTTTGCCGTGTCACTAAAAAGATTTATCAATTTGAAAACATTGAGATTAGAAAATTGCTGTAATGGATGGGATCAATCTGCACATGATGTTTTTACTGTCATTAGAGGTCTTAAAAAGCTCAATGTTCTGGAATTGGTAAACATAGAACTCAGTAAATGTGTCAAAGAGGAATTGGAAAAATGTGATAGTATTAAGGCTTTCTTGATTATTCCTAAATATAAGGATAGAGTATGTACTATACTTCTTATGTATTATACTACTACTTCATAACATCTATTTATTAATATTAATCTAATTTTTTTTTTTAGATTGGAACTGCTATCTATCACGTGGTTGACTGTCTCGAGAAACTCTCCAAGACATTAACACACTTGGTTTGGTTATTTCCTCATGATGTAGTTCGTGTTGCAGAAATATTTATAAATACTTTTCGTAAGATGCGTACTTATTATACATTAAAATCATCCCATACCAAAGAAACGACCAACAATATACCTGAGCTCAGAACAAGAGAGCCCCGACAGCGACCAGGAGATGAGGGCACTGCTGAAAAAGAAAAAGACAAGTCAGATGGTAGTGTTGATAAACTTACACTTGATGATCTATGGAAAATGTTAAATACTATGATGCCTGATGCTAAGATTAAGATATTTACAGTTCCCTCTTATCGAACAAATGTTTATTTAAATGAACTGTTTAATGATCTTTAAATTAAATGTATAGTATTCATTTGTTTCTTTACATGAGATACCTTTTTCGATATAATTATATTTTTTGTGACCACGAAAATTTTCTTTGTACTTCAAGGTTTGGATTTTAATAACAATTTAAATTATTAGTTATAATGAATATGTTTTATGTTTTTCCGTATGTATAATAATAACTGTTCATTAATCATAAATGTTATCATACTTTTCGTAGATTTTTAATTGTAAACATTTTAATTCAATTATAATTCATATTTTTTTTACATTTCTTAAAAAATATAAATCTCTAATTTAAAAATATAATTCTTGCTATTCATTGTACAGTAAATTAATTTTGATTAAAATCTAAATAAAATTAGGTTTAAGTACTTTTTAATAAACATGAATATTTTATGTACTTTTTTTGAAAAATAATTCATGCCGTATGGAATTATTCTCAAAACTGAAATCAATTGTCTTTAATGTACTATAATTATTGTAGTAAGAAGTGAGAAAGTAGAATGGTATGAATAGGTTCACAAATTAATTAAAATATTTTGAAAATGTTCTTGTGTATTTGTATATGCAGTACGGTAATAATTAATATACATAATGATATGTACACTTTGCGGCAAAAACTTTCATGCCTCATATTTTTTATAAATAATTGATATATGAATATTTTCATGAATTATTTTAGTAATTAAGATCCCGATACATTTAGTTTTTTTATGGTGGCTAATTTGAAAGTGAATCAATTTTTATTTCAGGAGACTGACTTGTTAGAAGCTAGACATCCAACACGGTCTTCGACTTAATACTTTTTACCGACAAATAAGCAACGTACATAAACTGGGGGAACGTATCATTTAATTACCGATTTTCGTGGACAATGGGGGATTTCTGTTGGTAACGTAGTAAATTTAACTTTCAAATTTTTAAAAAAAAAATTGAATATTGAGCCATTCAATTAGAATATCCATATTTATTACTGTAATAAAACTGCATTTAAGTATAATATGGTAATCTAGTTTAATGATGTGGGCCGGGGAGGGGGTGAGGAGTACCTACTTCATTGTATTTATTATAAATGTATATATTATATAGGGGCCTGAATTATATTCTTTTGATTTTTTTTTTTAGTCTAAAGTTTGACGGGGGTTCGAAATCTTTAGAAATCATGAAATATCTGGGTTAATAACAAAAGTTTTTTTGCATATTTGGAAATATTTCAAGATAAAAGAATATTAGTGAATATATCGATTAATTTTTGTAGATGTTCGATATTTTTTGTTGCAGTGGCATAAATAATATAAATTATGACATATAAATACATTTTAATCGACCGTTGTACAAATATGATACCAGAGCACATGGTACAAAATATAGTTGTCCACTGTTTTCAAACATTTTCTTCGTTAAAAATTTAAAATAATTGAATATTAAATATTATTAATAATAATTTAATCAAACTTTTTTTAACTTGTAGTATTTTTTATTATGTAGGCACCTATTTATATCAAGTTTTTGTATTATTTTGCATAGTATGTATTTATTTATATCAGTTTGTATTATTTGATTAATTATTTTGCATATAAGTGCATATTTTAGTTCAAGGCAATATTTTGATAAAAAAACATAATTTTTGCATATTTTATTATGATTTTTAAATAATATTGGAAGAATATTTTCAACTTTTTAAGAGAATTAGCATCTTATTTTGGCTATTTTAAAAGAATATAATTCCGGCCCCTATATATAACATTAAGGGGCCTGCGTGCGACCCGTATTTTTGCTCAAAAACATGCCTTAAAGGAAAAACTCACGCCTCGTAGATTGGTCTGATTTCCGTAATTTTTTTTTTTGTTAAACAGTGGAAGACTTATTGCAGTTTGCATTTGACTTGGATTTTCAATATTGTTTTTCGAAATCTTATATTACAAGTTTGAATTTAATCCATTTTTACAACTTTTTAGTTTTTGTATTAAAATGTATAAAAATCGAAGTCCAATGTGCCCTGTAAAAAATATTCTTCCAACAAACAAAAAATAAATTACTGAAATTGGACCAATCTACGAGGTGTGAGAGTTTTTCCTGTAAAGTGGGTTTTGATCGGTATAATACACCCTATCAACCCCAACCCCCTAAATAGGTATTGGGTAGTAGATTAGTGGAAAAGTTTTATAATTGAAAATATAAAATTTAATTTTGAAATTTTATAGAATTGCGGAAAATTTGAAAAGTCGCGTTCATTGCTTACTCTTATATAATCACGTAGCGTGATTAATTTCAGCCACACTGAGCCACCTTTATAGTATTGTAGGTACCTAATTGTAATATCATACGCAAATAATAATAATAATATAAAGCATAAGCACATAATATTATATGTATTACATAAAAATAATTTATAGATTAGTTAAGAATCGTTCTACTCAGTTACCTATACTGTGTTAGTCTGATCATTATACAAATGTAACGATCTTGGTGCTTGGTACCTACAACTATCGTAGTGCTAATAGTAGATAAGTGGCTACCAATACGTTAATGTACCGGTCGCAGAAACTTCTTCCGATGTTGTAGTCGTGGTTGATGAATGAATAATAAGACAGTTGTTGTATATTGTGAATTTTACTATAACGCTCGATAATTTTCTAAGTCCAAAATAATATTGTTCAGAGTGACGTGAAGGTGCTTGCACTAATGGGTACACGTCTGAAAACAGGCCGATTCGGGCTCCCTTATATATGAGGTTAACCGTACCCCTTGCCTACATATACGATATCTCGGTTCTCACGGATGTGTTTTTGTGATCACTATTCCAGCCTACGCATTTACGACTGAACGCATTACCAAAATATGATTACTAATTTATTAAATTACTACATTACTAGATTATTAAAATAATCATTTTACTCTTTTCCGTTTGGACTTCGACGTGTGCACTCAGTGCTTTCCCTGTAAAATGTTACAACCGCCTATTTCTGAATCCTAATTTCTTTAACATCTGGTTTAGGCCGGTCCATCGTATATTATAATAATGAGCAACTGGCTTACTACAAATGTATCACTGATTGAATGTATTACTAATTTATGATTAGTCATTTTACTTTTTAATATTTCAATTTCATCGTTTGCGTCCAGTATTTCTGTCAAATATGACAAATTGACAACCGCCTATTTTGACCCTATCATCCTGAGTTATTCAGTGAGCCTGTCTCCATAGGTTTGAAGGACCCATTTCCATTCTTAATGCCCGACTATGCCGGTCCACCGTCTATTATAATAATTATGCACCTGTGGAATTTGGTTTTATTGTTACGTAGTAACTTGCTTACTACACAAATATGGTTGTAATAAAACATAATGCTTATAATGTAGTAAATTTTTCAGACTTTTTAAACTATTGAAATAATTAGTGTACAAAACTATAATTTATACAAACATTTTATGAACTTATATTTTGAGGTTTGTTGCCCAAATACTGTATTCATCTTAGGTAACTGTGATGACATTACTATTAGCTTTAAGACTAAACTAAGACCAACGTGAGTTTTGCAGTCAATAGTCATAACATGGAATATCAATGCATATCACATCAATTTAATTTACCAGCTACCATAATAACAACTATAATAAGTAATAACAATATAGTATTTTAACTGGCTAATTGGACTCCTAAAGTCTGAAACACCTATTAATATTATAATAACATTGATTGTTGTCCATTATTTTAAATCATTTTTAAATTAGTTAAGTTATGTAACCACCCTCTAGCCATGACAGTCCGGACACACTTATATGGTCCTAAAATTTGTTCATTTTTTTTTCCATACAAAATTTTATGAGAAATGTAAGTTTCATCAAAAGATAAGACTGTAATTTTATCATTGAAGCTCATTGATTTTCCTATTCAGTAAAAATGATTTATAAAATAAAAATTACTTATACAAAAATTAAGACTTACCTTTTTCCTTCATCACGGCTAAAACATCAGTTAACATACCCTTTTCAACTGAAAATTTAGCTGCCCACTATCTCAATGTTGATAGACCTTTAAATTAAATTGTAAAATGCAACATTTTTTTTTTTAATTCATCCATAAAAATATTTACTTATCTGACAGGGGATAATTTTTTTCACTCAAACAAAAATTTGCTTTTAAAGTTACGCTTCTTAAAGATATAGCTGCGCAATATCTTCATTTGACCACCTAAAAACTTTTACTTTTGAATTTAAAATTAGATCAATTTGTGTTGGAGAAAACATTTTTGATAACTTTTCTCTAAAATGTATTTCAAACAGATGTTCTTGTCGTTTCTGGTCATTAGCTGTCAACAATTTTCCTTCTTGTATGGCTATAATATTTTTAATCCTTGTGATTTCTTCATTCAAACTTTGGTTTTCTACCATTTTATAGTCTAACAGATACTGTAGTCTTTAAAATTTTAAAAAAAGATACATAAAACATATGTTAAATTTATTTTTATTAGTTCATTGTTTTAATTAAGTTATATCAATAACTACCTATATGTAAAAAGTAAACCAAAATAATTATTAATAAACACTATTAACTTATCAGATCATGCAAAACAAATAAAAAAAATGTTAAAGAATAATAGTATTGTTTCAAAAAATACTTCTCTGTTAATCATATTCATAATGTTTGAGGTTCAACCGTTAACTTTTATCTAAATTATTTTGAATACACATAGTATTTTTAGCTTAGGATAACTAAACATTAATGCACATTGATTAAAACGTAAAGCATTACGCATTATTGAAAAAATTCTACTAATTGATGTAGAGAATACCTTGAAATTTCTTGTGAAACATCTTTGTTTCTATTTCTTTTCAAATTCCTAGCATACCTATAGTTATTTTTGTTAAAGAAATATTATTATTTTCACTTCATTGAGCTCATATTTAACACATTCAGATTCTTACCAACTATCTTCAATACTAAGATGTTGAGCATCAATTGCCGATTTTGAACTCTTAGAAATACTAGAACCATTTATGGT